GGAATGCATCTTCCCGATCGAAACCAAGATCCTCATCTATCTTCATATCTTCCCTTTCCGCTTGGTTTCTTGATTCACAAAATTAAACACTATATACTGATGGCAGAACCAACACCAAAAACCTCAGAGAGACAGATCAAAGTTTTTTATCACTCCCTGGAAGTTCTCTAAGTTTTTATAAAACAGGAGAGCTAGAGAGAAAGAAAGAGAGAGAAATTAAAACGACAAAGAAAAAGAAAGGAGATGTTGGCTTGGTTTCTTCTACTTTTTTTTATGAAAGCCCGAACGAGACGGGATGACAGCATGCATCTCTTTTCATGCATGGATTGGTCTCTTGAACACGTGCCAGTTCCTTAGCTGCTTTCAAAGTCAGTTAATGACCGACTATTAATAGTAACCATGGAAGGAGATATGAGGAGATCCGAACTTGTGGATGTTGATTGTCATCTCCATCAACACAATTCTTCCTCTCTGGTTTAGTTGTTGCCTCTTCAGTTTTCACCACTTCGTTTTGCTTTGAGAACTAGGGAGGATTTATAAGGTGACCTCCTCAGATAATACTAATATTAAGGATATAATATAATTTTTAAATGCAATCCATCCCAAGAAATCATGATAAAAACTTGCACATCTCCTTATCCTTAAAAAGTGTGAAACCTCGACTTTTATAGACGTGTAACTTGAGGTAGGAACGATGACGTGGATTAAGGGTAATCTTGTTATTTTTTTGGTGAGCTTTTAAAAGTAAGTTTTTAAATATTGTTAAGGTCTAAGTAAGTAAAATAAATAAATAAATAATATATAACAATATTTAAATAAAATAAAAATAATTATGGGCAAAATGGTAATTTTAGATCTCGAGTCTAAATTTCTAAGTTTTCATGAACTCGGGTACCTCTAATCTATTATGGACCATTTCTCAATATCAAAAGAGTAAAAAAGATTGCAAAAACAAAAAAAATGGTGGATTTAGTATTAGGTTGACTAGTCAAATTATAATGGAAACCTAGTTAGGGAGAGCTAGTAAAGTTTAATTATGGAAATAGCATTTGGATCTATATTCACGTGAATTGGGTTGGTTGTGATGCTATTGTGTGTGATACATTCCAACGAGACCCCACATTCCCACTTGGAGCATTAATTGAAGTTTGGAGTTGATAAAAAACAAAATCAACAAAGACAAGTGAGTGAACTTGCATTTAAAATGTTTTGGACAAATGCTTATGTGTTTGAATGAAATACTTGAATATTCTTATTTGACTCTTTTAAAATATGCATGGAACAAGCCTTTATTGAGTGACATCCCTGTGTTGTAAAACGTATAATGTGATGAATTACGTGTTTGAAATATTATATTGAATTGCCAAGTGAATTGTGGCATGTGATACATTGAGAATTTTGGAATGTTTTAAACTAGTGATATGATAGTTAATATTATTTTCCTTGGATGTTGGATTGTGCAACCATGTATATGATCAAAAATAATGAACTATGCGGAAGGTATTAATATGCAAAGACTCTTGTTACGTGTTGTTATATATGCTATGCCTTGAGAGATATTATTGAATGATAGTTATAATCATGCATGTGCGATGTGGGAATGCATATGACGGTAATGGTGGTTTACAGTATGGGAGCTCATGATGATAATAACTATGTGCAGTGTGGGAGTACACATGACGATGATAACTATGTGTGGTGTGGGAGTGCACATGAGCTGAATTGAGGTCGGTGGTTATATGCATCGAACCATGTTGACTATTTTTGGGAGTTAGCTAGATGTCTTTGATATATGCTTGAAAATATCTATATATATATATGATATATATACACAAATTCTTATACACGTGTTTACATATACTATAGAGATGTTAGATAAATGAAATGTGATTGCATTGAATGTTGAAGGTTGGAATTCTTAAATGTTTTCAAATGAGTTAAAAGACAACATAGCATCAAGTTTGGTTTTTGAAATATAAGTTGCATTGTTTCTAACATAAGTGCATTGTGTTATATAAAACCTTCTGTATCGTTTGCTTGTTCCCTTCCTATGTTCACTCATTAGGTTTATATTCACTCTTTTTAACTTCATGTTTTGGTTTTCAAATTTGAAGGTATTTGGAACCTAGATTGAGGTGTCTACATATATTCACCTTTCAGCAGGTTTACCATGGCATTCAATAGCAGTACCCCTACCTAGAGTCACTCCACTAATAGTTAAAAGTCTTTTATATGTGTACATGGACACCTGGTGTAAATTGTTAGATTTATTTTACAAACATTATATATCTACTTTGATTGATGATGCCGCTACGAGTTGACAATTGATGACATTATTTTGGGATGATATAAGTATGTGATTTGGTTGCCATGGTATATTACTAAGGAGATTATGTTTGAAAATTATGAATGGTGACTTTACCAATAATGATGTATGATTGATGGAATGATGAACATGATCATATAAAGAGGTTTGCTTGGGCTTAATGAACTGTGCCCATTGGGCTCATGCGTTGTTCATAACTCGAGATTTAGATTGTGACAAAATTAGTATCAGAGCCTTAGGTTGTCTAGGTCTTAGGATTTTTTTTTTATTTGGTCTAGCGGAGTATCAAGTCTTTATGTGGAAACTTCGGTTGTGAATTGTGAACCGTGGTACATTTTACAACCAAGAAACCGCATAGATTCCCTATTCTAGAAACCACCTTTTCCTTTAGATATGATTATAAAGTGTGTTTATTAATACGTGTTTGCTCTTATCTAAGTAAAGATGCAACCTAAGACATGAGTCACCTCGAAAGGGACTGGGGAGCAAGATGCTCTTAATGAGACAACGAGTAGGTCACGAGCTTCCACCCCTAAGGGGCAAAGGTAGATATCCCTAAAGGTCACAACGATTGATATCCCTATGTTGTAAAACGTATAATGTGATGAGTCACGTGTTTGAAATATTATATTGGATTGCCAATTGAATTGTGACGTGTTTTGCATTGAGAATCTTGAGATGTTTTAAACTAGTGGTATGACAGTTAATATTATTTTCCTTGGAAGTTGGATTGTGCAACTATGTATATGATCAAAAACAATGAACTATGAGAAAAGTATTAATATGCAAAGGTTCTTGTTACATGTTGTTATATATGCTATGCCTTGAGAGGTATTATTGAATGATAGTTATAATCGTGCGTGTGTGGTATGGGAGTGCACATGACAGTAATGATGGTATACGATGTGGGAGCCCATGATGATGATAACTATGTGCGAGGTGAGAGTGCACATAACAATAATAACTATGTGCAGTGTGGGAGTGCACATAACAATAATAGCTATGTGCAATGTGGGAGTGCACATTGAGGTTGGTGGTTGTATGCGCCAAATCATGTTGACTATTTTTGGGAGTGAGCTAAATGTCTTTGATGTATGCTTGAAAATATCTATATATATATATATATATGATATACATACACATAAATTTTTATACACTTGTTTATATGTACTATATAGATGTTGGAGAAATGAAATGTGATTGCATTGAATGTTTGGAATTCCTAAATATTTTCAAATGAGTTAAAAGACAACATAGCATCGGGTTTGGTTTTTAAAATATAAATTACATTGTTTCTAACATAAGTATATCGTGTTACACAAAACCTTCCTTATCATTGCTTGTTTCTTTCCTATGTTCACTCATTCGGTTTATACTCACTATTTTCAACTTCATGTTTTGGTTTTCAGATTCGGAGGTAGTTGGAACCTAGATTGAGGTGTCTGCATATATTCACCTTTCAATAGGTTTACCATGGCATTCAGTAGCAGTACCCTTACTCACAATCACTCCGCTGGTAATCAAGGGTCTTTTGTATGTGTACATGGATATTTTGTGTAAATTGTTAGATTTATTTTGCAACATTATATATCTATTTTGATTGATGATGCCACTACCAGTTGGCAATTGATAACATTATTTTGAGATGGTACAAATATGTGTATGTAGTTACCATGGTATATTACAGAGGAGATTATGGTTGAGAATTATGAATGGTGACTTTACAAATAATGATGTATGATTGATGGAATGATGAACAGAATCATATAAAGAGGCTTGCTTGGGCTTAATGGGCTGTACCTATTAGGTCCACACGCCAATCATGGCTCGAGATTTAGGCTGTGACAAAAAAGGTCTTTGATCTTGGAATTTCCTCTCTAAATTACTATATAATTAGGCCTTATATGCATAGGATTATCTTTTTATCATGGAGAGTTGTACGTCCACAAAATACCGTGATCATGTGCTTATTATGTTTGAAATCAAAATGTTAATTACTTCACATTTACGACTCCAATAATCAAGATAACCCCTTGAATTTCTTCTTTGATTATATGCAAGCCATTTTCTTGATAATACAGGCTGTTCATGGATGTCCATTAACAACTTATATACAAAGTATTATGTTGGGCTGCTCGGGTGTTAACTGCTATCTCAATTCTTGGGTTATTGTGTTAGATTAAAGAGTCCTAACAGGCATCCGAAATCTGGAAGCATGGGATGGAAGAAGAATGCCTTGAAAAAGAAAGATCAGCAGTTGGCATTTCCCATTTTGGACTAATTACAGGATATTCGAAATCCCAGAAAGAATATTTGGTTATTTAACAAGCAAGGAAGATCAAAACGTCTATGTATCTACAATTGCAAGTTGGGAGTTCAATTTCTATATGTATATCAAGTCTTTCTCACAATCAGAAGGAACGTCGGCTGCCAATTGGAAAGTTTTTCTATTTCTTCTTTCCGTTTTGTGAGTAATTGCCAAGTCACTTAACCCAAGTTGCCAAGCATGAAGCATCATCCACAATTTAAAATAATAAAAAATAATTCTATCGAAAACAATAAAGAAATTTGATTGGCTGATTGTTGCAAGAAAATGGCAATAAAATTGCCCGGTATCGTCATGGCAAATGGAATAGTTCATGAACTATAACATAAAGAAAGAAGAAGAAACTGATAAAGACTAACATCAAAGATGCTTCTGTTATTATATATCGAGGAGATTCAAGACCTCAAAACTTATGCAAATCGTAGGGGAATTTTCACTTGGAAATTGAGATAGGGTCTTTTGGACTTTACAGCAGGAAATTAAGGTTAAAATCACGGGAAAGAGAAGGATGCAAAGGGTATTCATTTATCAATTTGGTTCAGTTTGCCAAGGCCATTACAACGGGTACATACAATTTGAGCCTCGTCTTTACGTGCAGCGTTTGCTCTCAAGGGCACTCCAGATTTCCGAACAAAGCCCGCACCATCACATTCAGGACACCTGAGATAAAACAGAGCATTAGCATGGAAATTTCCATACAAAGGGCTCCACTCAGGGTAGATGCAATTCAAAACAGAGAATAAAAGAAGGGTAAATTTACGTGTCCTTGCGTGAGAACAAGATCGGGAAGGCTGTTCCAACCAGGGCAACAACGGCTGCACCAGCAATTAGGTAGTTCGTACTATCGGCTGATAAATCTCCAACTGCTGCAACTACTGTCAGGGATCTCTTTTGGTTATTCCGGCTCCTGGTCCTGGACAAAACTGTTGACCTGCGCGGTGCCGGCGCCACTGGATGACGGGAAGAGAGAGAATGGCTACCTGACACTGGCGACTGTTTCAGACTTGCTGCATATAGAGTCTGCAAAGATGCAACGGATGCCATTGCTAACAGATTCAATTGCTACAGTAGCTTGGGAATTAAGGAGACAAAGTAGGAGCAGATTTTCTTCAGCGACATCCTTATATTGGCTGGAGAAATAAGAAAGAGGTTTTAGATTGTGGATGTTAGAAGTGACACATAGCAGGTTCTGTGGAAGGGTTGAATCTAGCCAGTACCGTCCATGGATTTGCTTGCAACTAGTGGATAAGGCCACGTCAGAAACTCAAGATTCTTGTGGCTTCCTGGTTAGGGGTGGTCCCCACCAAATATTTCTTCAGAAGTGATGTCCAATTATACCCCCTTTCTAGCTCCAGGCAAGGAATACAGAATCGAGAGCTGTTATTTTGAAGCCAAAGCTCTACGCATCAAGCATGTGAACTAAATCACTTGGCATTTCCTGTTGAGAAGGAAAATGAGCAATGCTGTACGAAACCCAAAAAATGATTCCCTTCCCCATTTATTCCATTGATTGGTGAGCCATTTTCACCCTTTAATGGATGATGATCAAAAGAGAAAGTGACTTTTGAAAATGGGTTTTCCATTATCCAATCAATTTACGTTGGCTGACGACCAAATTTTGAGTTTATCATGTATCAAGTTCGCTCCAATGGTTCTGTTAAATTCATGTACAGCAACAAAAACAGAGGAATAGAGTAGCACCTATGTAGTGAATATTCTTGAATAATGCTCAAACGCCCTGATTCTTGATCATATGCAATGAGTAATCCCAAATTGGCAGTTCAGACACACAAACCTCTACACTACCTTCTGCCAGTCATGCAAACACTCAACAGAGAGGCTAACTTCTATAAAAAAACATCCACATTGCCAGTTTGATGCTATTTCCGACAGAAAACCAAACATTTCAAAAGCCAAAATTGACCTTCACATGCCACATTTCCATAACGAGCCTTGGTAACAATTATGACAGCAGTATGCCCAAGTGCCAACGACAACAACCGTTAGCATTTACTTCTGTAAGTCAGTTAACACAAAGTCGCAAACTAGTTGAACTGGATTAGATTCTGACTACGGGTTCTGCTGTCAAATATTTCAACCTAAAATGAATGAATACTAGTAATCAACATTATTTCACCACACGCATGATGTCCAACAAAGTGTTGACAACATTGACCCTGAATGTCTACACAAAACACAAGTTAATAGTGGAGAACTGTTGATCAAAAGGATTCTTTATATAGATATAGATGGTTAAATCATCAATCGAATTTTCGAAAACTTTACATCACAATTTTTCAAGATCAAGATCCCAGTCCGTGAACAAAAGAGACAGAGGCATGACAATTACAAGTAATCACAAAGGCACTTTAACTGGCCTTCTAATTTGAGAATACTAAGAAAATCAAAGAAAAACATCAATACTTATAACATGCCAAGCATATAAAAGAAATGGAGATCTACATCATACATTCACATTGGAACAACTGTGATTGAAAACTACTGGAAACAAGATCTATATATCTGCCTCCTAACTTTTCTACAAAGCAGAAATTCTTGATTGCGGCGTTTGGCCGTCTTTCTCCAAGATAACTTCTGTGAAATAAAAGCATCATATGACTGCTAATTTTTACCATTCAAACTCACATCCACTGAAGAAGCAAATGCCTGTTTAGAGGGGAAAAAGATCTTGTATAAACAAGAACACAATCTTATGGGAAAGATAAATGCATACTATGAGAAGCAGCCCTGTCCATCAGAAAATTTTTAAAACAAACATCTAAGGCAGAGTGTTCTTCAAGACAACAACTAGTAAAATTTCACTTAATTAAAGCCTTCAAATCAAAGAAGGAAATAAAGGAAAACAAAAGGAAGTAGGACATCCCTGTTGTAACAGTGTGACTTATAACGGTTCAATAAGGTAAAGGTATCCAAGCTGTCCGCTCAACAAATCCATTGGACTTGTACATGTCTCTATCTACACCTACATTAATGATCATGGCCCCATTGGAGCAATATCACATTTATGCTCAATAATGGATAATTGAATGGAAAATAAATATTTATTGAATCCATCACATGGTTAACAAATTCAAAGGAAAAACCAAAACCAGCAAAATAGACCTGTTATTGCAGGTAGATTGGCTTCCACTAAAGTAAACCCAAAAGAAACAACATGAACAACTCAATAATTTGTATTAAGAACAGCAAATAAATAGCAAAATTCCTGATAAAAATTACATGTAAGAAAGAAGCAAAAGCATAAATTATCGTGACAAAACTTACTAATTGAACATTTTTAGGCCTAACATCAATTTATACGTGACGGTTAGTACCTCAGTGACCTCTGAAGGTTCATACAAAGCACAAAACTTTCTCCTTCATCCATTTCTTCTTCTTCTTCTTCTTCTGCCTCATTGGGATACATAACGGCTCCAACCAGTTCAAAACTTCTTTCTCTTTTGACAGAAAGTAAACTTGAGCAATCTTCATTCCTTCACCAAAAGTGTTGTTATTTACATCAAAGTAAAATCATACAATCTACAAACATTCCTTCCCTTGAGGAAAACTGCAACATTATTGTATCAGATTAAAAAAGGAAAAAAAAAGGTTAACCTAAAAATAAACAAAAAATACACTCAACCATCCTTCAATCCTCGAAATCCCAGTCGCTATCCCTTCTAGATGACCTATCAAACACTGAACTCGATCTACTTCTCCTCGTAAACCCAGAATCCGAACCTGAACGAGATGAAGAACTCCTAAACCTCCCGAAAAACGAAATAAAACTCCGAAAAACCCGCCCCAATCCTCTACTCTCTTGCGACCTTCTCCCACTAGGCGCCCACGAAATCCTTCTAGGAGCACCCGCATTATTAAACCCCCCATCCATCTCCGTAAACACTACCGGAAACTCCCTCTCCGCCGCTCTCCTCCCTCCAGTAAACCTGCCCACCGCAAACCCACCTCCCGGTAACCTCCATATGGTTAACCCCACAGCTTCTTCGTCTCTAACCGCCTCGTTTTCCCCTAAATTATTTCCGCTACTTTCCGTTGGCAACTCATGGCGGCAAACTGGACAAGAGTTTCGAATTGAAAGCCAAGGTAAAATACAATCCGAATGATAAATATGCTTACAAGGCATTTCCCGAGCTTCAGAATCGAGCTCGAAAGGCTCTTTACAAACGGCACAGTGAGATTCCGTGCTAACGTGACTTCCAACGATCTTAATCACTGGCATTGATTCAATCGCCGCTTTCGAAGCAGGCGGTTGTTCGAAACGAGCGACACCGTTTACTTCTAATTGAGATAATTGATCAAGAAGCCGATCAAAACCCGAACCCATTAAAAATTCCGACATGCTAGCAGGTAAGGGACGAAGACCCGACCCGGACCCATCATCGTAATAAAGCTCGAAATTGTTATTTCCTCTTTCAGGAGCTACGCCGTCGGTTTCCGAGCTGGGTCCACGGAGGACAACAACGGGGTTGAAAGGGGACCGATCGCCAGCGTTTCGACGAGCTCGGCGGAAACGAGGAGTAGCAGTGGGGCTAGGGCTCAGAGCTGGGCTGGGAGTGTCAGAGTACATGGCAGCGGCTGGGAAACGTTGGTGGATGGGAGATCGAGAGGGTGTTTCAATTTCTTCAATGAAGCCGCCGCCGCAATCGGGGCAATGGATCGAATCTTGGGGGGATCGGACCCGGATCCTGATGAACCGGTTGCATCTGTAACACCAATAGGGTGACCTAATCGACTCCATCGAAAAGAAACCCTAGAAATGATTTGAAGAAGTGATTATTCGGGAAATTTGAGAAATCAAACAAAATTAAAAACCCTAGAATTTCAGAGAGAGGAAGAGAGAGAGAATTTAAAAGGTTAAAAGTGGGAGGAGCCAGAGAAATGATAAAAAGGAGGAAGGGGGCGTGGTAGAATCAACGGTGTGAGCGCGTGGTTTTTAATTAAGCGTGGGCTATACGCTTTAAATTACTTTTTTAGAGGGATTAATTAACGGAAATCAGATGCTTAATGGCTTGTTTAGTTAACGGAGTTAGTTAAAATAAAAGGGGAAAGCGGCAGAGGAAGGCGTTGGAATTTGGACGGCGGGGGTCAGGGGACCAGGGTCCACCGGTTCAGGAATTTTTTGCCGTATGATGTGAACCGGGCAATGGATGCCTTGAGCCTAGTAGCCCAACTTGTTGGCTATTGGCCAAGTGGCTAATCTCATTTTCCTTTTTTAAAATTTATTTTTAAACCCTTTCATATCAAATAATGAAATAAATAATCAAAATATTTTAAAAATATAAGAAAAGAAAACACTCAAAAAGCGCTACTAATACTATTTTTACATGCAATATTTCTATCATAACAAATAAATTAAATAAGCTTAACAAATACGAAAAATTTTGGAGTGAAATACTCTAAATGTTTGTCCATCTTTTACTTTTACAGAAATTAAGATAAAAATTTTAACTTTAATCAGAAAATATAATGTAAACATTCAATATATTTAATAAAAATAAGTGTATTAAGTGTTTAAAAAATATTTTGTGATATTTCGGAAAAGAAATATGAAAAAAAAAAGATGAAATAAATAATAATAGTATATAATATATAATTGTAACCTTGAATGTGCATCAAGGTATGGGCATCAATCCAAGAGCACAATTTGTGCTTTCCATAGGATGATGGGTTTGATTAGTAATTATTAAACATGATTATAGTTTGTGTCATTGGATTAGATGACAAGGTTGAGAAATTACTAGACATAATTATATGACTAACTAATATATATATTTTTCATGTCACACTTGCCCATTCCTATTGTCAATTTCTAATAATTCAATCATGGTTAATGCAGGAAAAAAACTAATTGGTCCAATATTTTCTTATATTATGTCATTCTTTTGTTAACATATTAATTGTTCTTTGTTTTTTAAAAATCTATTATGCTTAGTACATCAATTATATTAGTAGTAATTATGTTTGAGTTTAAGTTAATTTTATACTGATTAATTAATTTATTTGTTTATTTTGATTATGATTATAATTTTTATTTACATGTATAATTTTATTAAAAAAATATATAGTAATCATGATTTGAGATTAATAATTTTATATAAAAATTTTAAGCTTGAAGTTTTTTTTTAATTTATGTTTTAAACAAAGAAAAAGAGAAAAAAGAAAGGGCAAAAGGCATAAATGAATTAAAAATGTTGGGCCTTTAAGCCCAAACCGACATAATCTATTTGGGCCAATGGTAGATCCAATGGACCTCACAACTTTAGGTCTTAGACGTCAAATTCAGACGAGAAATCTGACATCTATACGCGGTAGCGCTCTCCGCCACCTTCTAGGGAAGGAAAAATCCGGAACCGTCTGGAATTTACTAAAATCCTCCATAAGAAGAAACTCCCACCGGTGCTCAGGGAACTCTTGATTTATTACTGTTGAATTCATCTGCTTGAGAAAGCGAAAACAGAGATTCGTTTAGCACTGTAACAATGGCTAAAGACGGACCCAACTGGGATGGATTGCTGAAATGGAGCATTGCTCACTCTGACGGAACTCGACCCACTCGTAATTTAAGGTAACGCCGTCTACTTTTTTTCTCAATGGCCCTTTTTTGCCCATCTTTAATTGATTATTTTGGTGGGTAATGCCTTTTATTTTGGGGGGGGTGTAGTGAGGAGGATAGAAGATGGTTTATGGAAGCAATGCAATCGCAAAGCGTTGATGTGATTAAGCGAATGAAAGAGATAACTTTGGTTATGCAAACTCCAGAGCAAGTCTTGGAAGCTCAAGGAGTTACTTCTGCTGATATTGAAGGTACTATTTCAAAATCCCCCCTTGTTGTTTTCAAGCTTTTTCTGTTTCTGGGTGTTGAGGGTAGTTTTGTTTTACATACTTATTTGATGGTGGCAGATATGTTGGATGAGTTACAGGAACATGTAGAGTCCATTGACATGGCCAATGGTGAGTTTTCTCTTTTTTCTTGAAGGCCTTTTTATTACTCTGAGATTACTCGCACTTTTTCTTTCCTAAGTGTTTTCTTTTCATGAAATGCTTAACTTGGTGCCTTTGTATCTCTAATATTTATCATGTTAGCTATAGTTTTTGGCTGCTTAGCATATTAATAGTGATTGCAAGGAGAAGCTTTTTGTGTTTTATGTGATAAGTATTTCACCAGGATGCTACCAATGATGGAATTGATGTTTTTGGGGCTTCATAAACTTGTTGCATGATATAACTTCTCTTTCTCCTGCCTTGTTACCGTTCCTGCAAAAATAAGTTTTGTTTGTGAACTGGCTAAATAAAAAATGTTTTCTCTGTATTTAGCTTTCCATGCTTTTTAATTTGATCTCTAGCCTGATTGTTTTCATCCTCTGTCAAGAAAGATATATTCATATGATCTTTATGCATCTGTGGCAGATCTTCACTCGATTGGTGGTTTGGTCCCTCTTCTTGGTTATCTGAAGAATTCACATGCCAACATCCGAGCAAAAGCTGCAGAAGTTATATCCACTATTGTACAGAATAATCCCCGGAGTCAACAGTTGGTTATGGAGGCAAATGGCTTAGAGCCTCTCCTTTCTAATTTTACTTGTGACCCTGATGTAACTGTTCGAACCAAAGCACTTGGTGCAATATCTTGTGAGTACAATTTTTTGCTTTATAATATACTTTTTATTTTTATTAGCACCAATAAATTTAGATGAACATTCTACTTCAAAAGCTTGAAAGTATTTTGACACGAAATATAATTTTTTTCCTTTGGTTTTCAGCTTTGATCCGCCACAATAAACCTGGTATTGCAGCATTTCGACTTGCAAATGGTTATGCAGCCTTGAGAGATGCTTTAGGAACTGAGAGTGTGAGATTTCAAAGGTAATCTTATCTTTATGTTTGTATTAGGTTTTATAGTTTCAATCTAAAGATGCTTCTTAAGTTAAAATAAATGGAATATTAGATTATCAAATAGTTTTCTGCAGTTCAATGTTCATGTGCCTTTTTCTTTTCTTGTCTATTAGTCCCCCGACTTTTTTTTTTCTCATACAATTATTTTTTTCTTCCAGGAAAGCCTTAAACTTGATTCAGTATCTACTGAATGAAAATAGTTCAGATTGCAGTGCTGTAAGTGAGCTAGGATTTCCCCGCATAATGCTGCATCTTGCCTCAAGTGAGGATGCAGAAGTAAGAGAAGCTGCCCTCCGCGGCCTTCTTGAGCTTGCTAGGGACAAGACAGGAGGGAACAATGGTGGATTAGGTGAAGACGATGAGAAGCTGAAGCAACTTCTTGAAGAAAGAATTAAAAGTATCAGCGTGATGTCTCCTGAAGATCTTGGGGCTGCTAGGGAGGAGAGGCAGCTTGTGGACTCCCTTTGGAGTACATGCTATAAGGAGCCCTCTTCTCTTCGAGAAAAGGGACTTCTTGCTCTTCCTGATGTAGATGCACCTCCACCTGATGTTGCCAGCAAGCATTTTGAACCTCCTCTCAGAGGTTGGGCTGCAAATCGTGCTGGTGATTCTAAGTCCAGTGCGGAAAAGCAAGAGACTCCTCTATTGTTAGGACCAAGCCCTCCAACTGATGGTGCCAATATTTAAGGTACCACAAGTCAAGAAGCTGAAGCTGAAAGGCAGGCAAATCCTCATAGAAAGCCGTAGAATAGTTATTATGTGCCTAATAAAATTAGCACTAGAATTTGGTTGTTTTCCTATATTTTTCACCTTGAATTGTATTTTCTTGTAATTTTTTTTGCTTATTCACTGTATCATAATATCTGAATTTAATATATGATTGCCGCTGGGTAAATCTTCTCCACTGGCTTCTTGGATAAATTCTATAGAGATGTAAATGGTTTTGCTTATCTATTGTGTTAACTGCATCCCAAATTTGTGGATTCATCGTTGTATGATCGTCGCTCAATCATGTATGGCAGAACTTGGAAATGGTATTGTAGTACTTTGTTGTGAATGGTAGTGCAATTACTTCCCTCCTTGTTATGATATGGATACTTGGAAGTTGGAACAAGAGCAGGAAACAAAACACTCCAGAGACAGACAGAAATGAACTGAAACCCAGGAACAAACTTCCTGCTTTTGCCTTTTTCTTAAGCGAGAGCCTCAATCCTTGCCAACTTCGTATGTGCTTTGGCCTCTATTTTTACTGTCATGGAGCTCCTCAAGTATTCCCCAAACTTCACTCTCTTATACATTTGTGGACTTTGGGGGTTGAGCATGTGATCTAGTGGTTCAATCTCTATCTGATCGTGTGGGACCAGGAATGATGCATAGGAGATCCTTGCCTTCGTGTGATTTGCAAGAGCTCGGTGTTCAATGCTTTTGTACTTGCCATTACTCCACATCTGACATCAATATACAGGCACAGAAATCGGCTTGAATTTTCAGTTTTGTTACAGACCATTCAAAACATAGCGTGCCATTGCTATCCAAATAGTAAACAAAACACTATCTGTTTTATACCTCAATGACATCACCGACGTTCGCTACTAGAGCATTTCGGATTGGATTAACTGGCACACAATCTCCCTTGTGCCGAATTTGTAATCCACACAGAGTCTTCCTGCACAAGTATGGTTCTAGTGCTGGTGTCCGAATGTGGACTAACACCTAGTACTAGGTCTGGTTTGGAGCAAGCAGGGTAGTAGTTCACACGGCAAGCTTGCACCAATTGTTTGTGCAGTCCAAGCAGAGCTTCCTTGTCCATTACCATGATTTCCCTATATTAAAGGATATTTCAATTAACAATGGAGCCAATATAGGTATATCCCTAACGAAAACAAAAACCAACATCCAAGTGCTATGATTTGGCCAGATCAGCTGAAAATGCATACTCGAACCCTTTTGGCAATTTTGGCCAAAACTTGAGCTTCCTATAACGTGAAGGGTGAATCACAAGAATTAGTGCTTCTGACCAGTCCAGTTTCTGCTCCTCAGAAATGACATATGCTTGGCCGTAACCTTGTATGTCATTTGAAAGCATTGCATACTTGTTCTTCTCTTCTAGTGGAAGCTCAAAAAACTCAGCTGCAGCATCCTTCATTTTCTGCAACTCCATGATTTACGACCAACAAGAGATCTACTGTTACTCCATCACTATGCTCAAGAGTTAAAGGGCTCATAGATAAATTATATTCTGTAGTTGTCCCAAGATACCAAGGCTTTTTATGCCATCCTCGACATATTTTTCACCGTTAACCTTCTTTTTATGGGATTTCAAATCTGTAACTTCTTTCTTATGGTACAGTACCTGAAAGAAACCCCACTCTTGGCAAGCCAGATCAATTTTGTCTAGTTCCTCCTCATTCCCCATCAATAGTAATGACAAATCAATGACAGGAATAAGGGAAGAAAGTGGGACATATCAGTATCTTTTGGTCTGTCTTCTAGGTCCCTAACATATCTTTGTGAAGCTTGCAAAGGATCCTTTCTCACCAACTCTTGAACATTAGGCACTGGAATGGATGGCGCATAAGTCGGTGCCTCTTCATTCTCTGAGAATGTTTCTTTTGAATCCATGTTTCCTTTGTCAAGACAGTCATGGAAACCGTGTCACATATTCCTCCTATTTATAGCCTAGTGCTTAAGTTATCCCTTGCTAGGTTTTTAACTGTTAGTTGTAGCGGATATTGCTCTTACCTGATAGAAATATTCCTGATTAGACATATAAAATGCTGAAAACATTCTCTCCTTATACTTAATCTTAGATAGAACGAAAACTTTCACCACATTATTAGTTTACTAGGGAAGTCTGTCCTATCCATTTGAATCCCTTTGATACAACAAAAACTTTCACATCACTACATGTCTATATCTGGATGTTAGACAAAATTTCACTATTTTAGTAGTTCACGTCAGTTTGTTGCATAGAATTTGGATTCTTTGCAACAATTGTGTTTCTGGACGGCAGAGGAGAATATCCATGTTTAAACTTAGAATTTATCGACTTAACTCTCAGATGTGTTATTGTCAGTCACACACAAGCACCTTTGCAGCCAGTAATGGCCTTGACTTCCTCTGTGTTTATTTATGCTTTTCTCTTGTGTGTGCAGAAGTGAACAAATATATATATATATATATATATATATATATCTGCTGCACACTGAACTTGTGGTTTCATCATTGTTTGCAGAGAATCTTGTCTCTTAAAACTGATTGTTTGAATATCTTCTCATCCTTTCCAGCCTACCTAGTAGAAATTGTAGAACAGTTTCTTTTCTTTGTAAGCCATTGTAGTTGTGACAACAACTGAATCATTGTTAAAATATGAGATATTCTGTAGCAAAAGCAGAATACACCATGCATCATTATGTATATCAGTTTCTATTCATAGTGCAAGATACATTTCAAAACATAGAGGAAAACTAATTTTTCCATCCATTTCTTTACTAACAGACCTTCATAATCCTATCAGCTAATTTGTAAAGGAGGGAAGAAACTGATCCATCTGTTTTTCAACTAATAATTACTGGGAAAAATCATAAAAAACACTCTGTTGGTGGTGGCGTTGACTTTCCTAACATAGCCATGGCAACAACCTTGAGTTTTTTTCTTCTTCTTTTTTTTTTTTTTTGACAT